CTGCATTAGCTACTAGAGGTCAACAACCTAAGCCATTACATGTGGCTACAGTCTTTGGTATTCTCAAACAAATCAAAATGAAAAATGTGCTATACCAGGTTGGACATGTGCTGAGCTTCAAGTGGTGAGCAAGCTAGTGAAAAACCATTTAATATCACACAGTCCTGACCTTTCCAACTTATTCAGCATCCTGAGGCCAGAAAAAATTGTTTCTGCCTGAAATACGTACGAAAAACTGACAAGTGTGCTTTATATAGCAAGGAGATTTATAGAGACAGTGGGTAATGAAAGCACCTCAGAGACAGAACTGTTAGTGAATGAATCAGCTGTGGCCCATACATTACTGCGCTGTGCTTCACATAAACACTTATCCGGCGTCGTCATGCAGTGTGGGCTACGGAGACAGTTTAAGGTGTAAACAGTTCTTGAAGATCTGGGTCACTGCATGCATGTGTGTGTGAGCGAGTGCTCGGGGCGAGCAGGATCATTAGATAAATCTTGAATTTCTGTCGGAGCAAAAGGCTAGACACCGGGCAACTTACAGAAACAACAGTCACCACTGGGATGGTTGGAAGCGGTTCTTTTCGAGCAACTGTTGTTGGAGTTTCCTGGTGCTTAAACAAATCCAGATAGCTGACTTTATCCACATTTATCCTCGCCCTTCCAGAGATCACAGTCTTAACATGAAAATTCATGCTACACCTGCTATTTTGTTTGGAAACGTCACTGAGTTGGAGGATCTGTAGTCCTTTTGACTGTCCTCCAGTTCTTGATATTGGCTTGTTTTCACAGTGCTTAACTGTGTACTGTTTGTGCTCCAAAAATGCCTCCTCTCCAACTCGTTTGAGCCTGACGAGGCTGGAACAGGCCTTCACGCCGGCTGTCATGCCTTTGTGAGAGTTAATGTTCACATATTGTAATGCTAAATGAGTTCAAAGATACAGTATGTCGCAAGCTGAGTGCCAAATAATACTTTTTGCAGTGTTTTGGAAGTGTTGCAGTGTTGATTCATGTAGAGCTTATATTCTTGGCCCCGAATGCGATTTGTAATTTCTTCAGATGTGATGAGGTTTAGCTTTAAATGTTTTCCATGCATGTGAAATGAATGATAATGAGTGATAGTGGACACTGACAGTTACTTCATGTCTTAGTTGGAGGCTTCCTTTGCTGTCAGATACGAGCTGATGCTTTGATCAAGTGTTTGGATCAAGATTTATCAGAACTCGTTCTCACTTTGTGAATATAATTACCGAGCACATGTTCTGAACATGAATTATTTCATTTCATGGGCTTAACTCAGACAAACTTTGCACTATATGGTAGTGTCCAAGCACAGAGCATCTATAACTATAAAATGGATATAACCTCATTTTACTTCATGATTTCAGAAGCTTGCACTACTTTGGGACTTGCTAGTGAAATCATAAATTACATTATGTGTGCTTATTTTGGAGAGTGATATCTGATGACTACCAATTTTACGTCTGCATGTGAAGTGCTGCAATTGTGCTTTAGGGAGATGGCGGGGTCCTTCTCATGCTATAAAAGCATCTCACCAGAAAGTCAGAATAATTAATATCTGGAATATCGGCATGTACATATTATTGATGCTTTAGCATACGCCCACCCACTGCCTGCTTCTAAAGCTTGCATTGGATTTTGGTGTCAGCTCTTGGGTTTCTACACTTCATTATTAGTACCTGCTTGGGCTCCTTTTGCCTGCTTTAAATCTTCAAACAAGGTGCTGGAGTATCCCTCAGAGATTTTGGTCCATATTGACATGATATCATCACGCAGTTGCTGCACATGGACATTATTACTCTCCTGTTCCTAAGGTGCTCTATGGGATGCAATGCAGTGATTGTGGAGGCCAGTTGAGTACAGTGAACACGTTGGCATGTTCAAGAAACCAGTATGAGACAATTTGAACTTCAGCCATCAGAAGATGGGTAAACTGAAGTCATAAAAGGATGGCTATGGTCAGCAACAGTACTCACATTTTAATGATGCTCAACTTGTACTAAGAGGCTCAACACAGCAGGATAGATTCATACTTTTATGTTGTTTTCACTCATTTCTGATTGTAACATCCTAATCTTACTGTAGAAATTTAGACTCATCTGACCAGGCAATATTGTTCCACTTTTCTGCTGCCAAATTTTAGCGAACCCATGTGAATTTTAAACGAAGTTTCCTGTCTTTAGCTGCCTTAGTCAAAAGTTCAGCTTTTTGTGCATTCAGAGATGCTCTTTTGCATAGCTTTGGTATTTGAGTTACTGTTGCCTTCTGACCATTCTGCTTTGACCTCTGTGATCAATAAGGTCTTTTAAACCAGAGAACTGCTGCTCACAAGATTCTCCCTTTCTGACCACAAACCCATGAGATGAATGTGTAGAAAACCCCCAGTAGATCAGTAGTTTCTGAAATACTCAGAACAGCCTATCTGGCACCAACAGCTATCCCATTTAGAAGTAACAAAGCCACTTAAATCCCCTTTCGGCCTTACTCGGTTTGAACTTAAGGCAGGCTTGACTGTGTTTACTTGCCTAAATGCATCGAGTCACTGCCACGTGATTGGCTGATTAGTAATTGTTCTTGACAGTTGAAAGGTTGTACCTAATAAAGTGACCAGGTAAGTGAATGTGTTTCCTCTTTACCAACCTATATTACATGCTAGCGTTGTCTGTTCTGATTGTTGCTTGGTGAGAGCTTTTTGGATTTCATAAATGCTGAGTAGCTTTGTTGAATTGAAAAGTGTCAGATGATACCAGCTGCTGAAAGACTGAGAACTACTCAGCTATTATTTTTTTTTTCCACTCATTTTTATTTGCCTTATTTCAGACTTTGTACCATGTGCTCAGCAGCTCTGTTATTGCTGACTTAAGTGATTTAATTAAAACTGTATGGCCATTGCTTGATACCCCAAACATTACTTCCATCTGTCTGTACAGCCCATGTCCCATGTAAACTTCGAAATTGCTTTCAAGTCACCCAGAACAAGGGAGGGGAAGGATTCCGCTTTAAGCCACAGAGGCCTTGACGTCAGAGTGAGGTCGTGCTTGCCCCGTGTGCTCCCTGATCTGCAGGCAGAGAGGGTAAACATGAGCTCACACTGGGAGGAAACCACTTTGCCATTGAACATGCGAGAGGTAGACAGAGCAACATCTGGCTAGGGCTAGGAAGTGAGGCAGGATGCTTGCAGGTCAGGTGTCACTGTTAGTGATGGAAAAACCCAATCACATTTGAGCATGGAAGTGTAACCGTCTTTTGCCACCTCCTGTCCATCGTTATTACCTTGGCAGTAGCACCTCTTGTTTCCCTGTGTCACATCCTTTCTCCAAAATCTACGACAGCTGGGACATGGTGTGTCTGTGTTTGCTTTTGTGTGGACAAATATGCATTTTTGTGTGTGTGTGCACATGTTTATTTCCTTGATTATTGTTGTGAGTGTGTGTGGGGGTTAACAGAGCTGATTTGTGATGTGTGGTTTAAAAAAATAACACAGTTTTGTACAAGTGTTTATTTGATCTATCCAGCTTAGCTCACTTTTGTCCTTCACTGCCTGTCTGTCAGGGCAGATCAGTGGGATCCAGATGTTTTTTTGTTTGTTTGTTTTTTTGTTTTTTTGCAGGGCTGAATCTCAGCATTCCAAAATCAATCTTAGACCCAGGTAGGCTTGTCTGCCTGTCTGTCTGAGAGGCACGCGCCTCCTCCAGGTCGCTCACATGAGCTCAACTTCCAGGTCGTGCAACACTGGCTCAGTAATTGACCCAAATGAAATGCTCACTGGGGAAAAAACTTGCCCCCTTGCAGCCCTGGTCGAGCTTTGTTCGTCGACCCCAGTTTTAATACTTCCTCCAGTTCAACGCAACACTCAGGATGTTGCTCTCTGGTTGGCCACAGTCAGACAAAACAAGGAGTTCATAATCTAGTCATGCAGACACAATGTGTGATGGAAAGGTTTTGGAGTTGTGATGGAAAGATCTGATGTGTTTAATCACACGCTTTTCTAAGACGAGCCACACACAGACTCTCTTTGGCTGCCTAATATTTTGTTGGCCAATCTATTCCTGTGAAATGGCTTTAAGATGTCTGCAGTGTGCTGTCATATGTACACTGATACAATGGTGGGTGGTCATTTTAACCATGTTCAAAGATTCAAAGAAGAAGGTCCGCTTGTGTGAGCCAAAAGTTCGACCTTCAGACTGCCGTTACTCTTTTCTTCTCTTGGATTCGTGCAGGAGAGGACCAAACAGAGATCTCTGCATACGATTATTCGACACGTTTTTTTGTGGGTGACAGTAGAGACTTTTGTTCTCATACAACATTTGACTGAAAGACTAAATCCACTAATAAGCAGGTAATGAGCGTAATATTTACAGAGAATAGATGTCCAACTGATTTGAGAAGCTGACAAAACAAGAAACTGAGTTTTGTTTAAAAGATTTAAAGTTTGTTTTTGGAACCTCAAAACCGGGAAGTTGAGGATGTGGTGCTCACAAGCACATGAGTCTGTTTGCAGAACCCGACAGCCAATCAGAAGTAAGTTTGCTTACTGAGAGGATGGCCTGAAAGATATGGGAGCTAAAATAACTTGTTTCTGATGGTGATAAAACTGAGGGATTGCATACAAATAAATAATAGCTGTTCTAGTGGAGATCCAGAATAACAGTATGGCGCTGAGAATACAGTGATAGGTCCACTGTTATTTTATTTTAGCATTGTAGTGCTTAAAGAATGATTCAGTAAAATCAGTTCCATTAAACTTAAACGTTTTATTCTATAAAATCGATTAAGTATGATTAAGTAATCTATGAGCTAGATGGCATGTTTGTCTCTTAGGACTCCTACTTTCTGTTGCACACACTGAGCACACTTACACTCATGGTGACGCGTATAAGATGCTCATGGGTGTATCTTTGTGACTGCATATATTTGTGTGTGTGGGACGTTAGCTTTTGTCTGAGGTCATGTGTTTATGGCCTTGTGATAATTTACAGGACCCAAGTGAGACGGGGACCCCCTGACTCCTCCCCTCAGCAGACCGGGACCTCCCGTACTGTGAAACGTTATCCATCATCCTCTGGGCCTATAACCTCCAACGCTCTGCCCAATGGCAATGGCTACTCTAACGGTAACGAGCACGGGAACTGGTATGGAAACAGGAATGGGCATACCAACACACATTCCCACAATACTCACAGGCCAACCAGCAACAGCCAGCTGCACGGACAGTTCAGCAATGCATTATTACCAGCAGGTAAGTACAATGAGACTGAATACATGTATGTCTTCCACTTGAATATTTGTGAATATCATAAATCGTGGCTCTGTTATCATTTCACATCCTCTGCCCCTAGCTACCTCAAAACAAATGCAATCGCTACGAATGCCTGACGAAATTCAGAGTGGCCACAATACATGCATACACATTCGACATTAGCCACGAGGAAAAATTGGCAGCGTCCCAGGATGCACTTCCTTTCTGCCTCTGTCCAAACACCTCACACCCTCTGTGGTCTTCATCACATGCACAGACGTTTCGTATCAAAGCTATTGCAGTTTGAGCATGTGCGAGATTGCGCAGTTACGTACTTCGGAACCTTTGGGAATTTGCTCAGACACTTCTCTGACATGATAGACACTGGACCCTGGTTGCTGTTGGAAATGTGATGTGAACGTCACCAGTTTTTTTCCCCCCTTCTCTTTGATCCAACGTGCACAGCTGTCTGCCGTTCCACATCCTCCTGTTTTTTAGCCCCGTACCGCAGCAACGGCTGTTGAACAGCTTCCCACCATTACACAGTGCTCACCTACACTCTCTTTGTTTCCTTCACCCATACACATATCCAAAACACCTTCTCTCAAAGATAAAGGGCTTGGAGCCTAGCCCAAAAACCTAATAGCCTTCTCACCCCCCACCCCACCCCCCCTCTTTTTTTTATTATTTCTTTTGCTGGTCTGTGGCACATCGCACGTTCTGCTGCAGCGTGCCACTGGCCAACCGTCAGCACACACCCTCGCACTTATAAACCTCCCTTTTGCCCAGACGGGGAGTGTGTCACAGTGAAGCTGAAGGTGGAAGGATGCAGCTCGTCTCTAGCCTGTCTCTGCTGCTGCCCCTTCTCACCCAGGTGTGTGTGTGTTTTCCAGGGGCCAACCTCACCTCCAACCTGGATCGCATCAAGATCGTCTTCACACCTATGATGTGCCGCAGGGTGTGCTCTGGAGGGCGTTGCTATAATAGCTGCGAGAAGGGAGACATGACCGAGGTCTACAGCGAGACCTCGCCCCAGCAGCAGCCGAAGAACCAGGGCTTCCGACTCTGTGAGTGTCGACCCCGGCCCTCTGACTATCAGCAATGCCTGTCTGCCTGCTTATCTCTGTGATACTGCTCTGTGTTGTCCCTGAGTGTCTCTCTTTCTCCCTTTCGATTCTCACACGCAGTCTGTGTTTGGTGTCTCGTTCTTTTTTTTATTGGGTGAGCTAGATAAAATGGGATCCCAGTGGCATGCTGTCTGCTCTGAATACCAATCTTAGACAGGAGGCAGAGTGGTGTAGATTAAGCATGAGAGCTATGCTGAAAACTTTCACTGTCAAAGAAAAAGACAGACAGGGGAGAGCAGATTAAAAGCAAGCTCTGTAAAAGGGGCCTAATCTCCCCTTGTACACAGACACGTGGACCTAGTGGTCCCACGCTCCCCAATACTTAGCCCCATCCCTTTTGCGGTTTACACCTCGCGGTCGGCCTCGCCGTTAACCGTTTAACATGCTCTCTGGGAGGGCAGGAACGGATGAAAAAGGAGAGGGAGAGGCTGAAAAGAGAGAAAGAGTAGCAGCATGAACAGGGTTTTACAGGGATTACATTAAACCTGTCATTTATCCAGAGGGCTTTGCTCCAAATTCACACAGGAGTGTCCATGGGATAGCAGGGGGCGGCTAGTGCCAAGGCGAGGGTCGTACCCCCTGCGTGTTTCTGAGTTTTCTCATCAGGTTTAATGGTCCAGCTTAGACCTCAGACTAATTATGGATTAGAGATGAAGGGCGCGCATACCACACACATACATATATAGATCCGCTCCAGTTACAACTCTCATAAATATAAACTCAAACAGCGATACAAACATGCAAACAACCCTCACCGAAATGCACTAGCCTATTTAGGGAGGACATCGCAGGCTTATGAATATATAAACAGGTCGATGTTGCAGATTTATGTGCACATTAGCAGGGTTTTGGAACACGGCGTAGATATTCTAAACACTTCTACATCCTGGCAGAGACCCTTCACGAGATTACATTCCCGGCATTTCCACTTCTTCCTCAGTGGTTAGTTTTTATGTCCCACTTTTATTCTCAAACAAAAAACAAAAATCCCCTGTCTTTGTTATGTAAAAGCATGCGTTAAAGAGCACGTTAAAAAGAGATTGCTTTCCATTTAGGCTCGCATCCTGTTATTGCTCGGGTCTGCGTGTTCGTCCAGGAATGTCAAGTGGACAGCAAACAGTTATCTCATGCTGTTGTTACGTTGCTTAAACGGCGCAGTAAAAACAGCGCAGTAAAAACGGCTGGGTAATTGCGGCGGTGCCTCTCGATGCGCACCCTGTGTACAACACTTACTTAAAGCTGATATTAGATTGGTAGAAGTCTGTTTATTGGCTGAGAAGTGTGTGCGCATGTGCGTCTCGCTCGTTAGAGGTTGTTAAATGGACAGAAAGATAGGCAGACGTGGAACCTGCTGCGGAAAGTCGACAGTAGGATGTTGTCTAAGAATAGTTCCTGCCCCATACCAGGGTGGGACTGGCCTGACACAGACCAGTGCAGACATGCATCCAACACTGAGAGGTTTTAATAGCCCTCCTTGAGTTGATAATTTAGCCCGCATGTCGAATCACAGGAGGTCTTTCTCTGTGTCTGGACATATTTAGTCTTTCTGCCCGTCTCTGTCCCTGCATTGTTTCTCCTTCATTTTATTTCTGTTTCTTTTTGTTCTGTTTTTAATCTATTCTGTTAGCATTCTCCTGCTAATCCTTTTAATGTCCCATCTGATACACGATTCTATTCTTGTTCTATTCCTCCCTCTTTTCGTCCTGTGGTCCCACTCTTGTTAATGTTATGTGACAGGGAGCTCATTCCCTACATGCCATCAGAACCGTCCAGCATCTCCCTGTTCCCTGTTTGCACCCTGTTAGCCTCAGTGAGACACAAAGGATGAAGTTCCCTGTTTGTTTTCATGTCTGGCATTCTCTTTAATCTCATAGCATGCAGGCCATTTGAATCTGTATCTTGCAAAACAGTCTCTTTTTTTGTAGAAGTGCATTGCTTCACTTTCTCATCCTTCATGCTCCAGAATAGTTCTATATTCGTCATAGTTGGATAGATTTTTTTTCCTCATTTGATTGTCTTTGATGTTTTCAGTTAGGAGAGGTCAGGTCAGAGTGAAACTGTAGATGGGAACAGGCCCAGGTATGTAGGGCGCTGGGCTGGCACCCATCCCTTATGCCAAAAGATAAGGCAATGAAAGGGCTGTTAAAGCACTACTGTCAAACACCATCTGGCCACTGCTGGTCTGTTCTGTTTTTCTTTCCACGGCAAATTACAAAATATAAATCAAATTGTAGACAGAACACATTTTGGACTTGGATTTACTTGGATGGCTATGAGCCAGTTGCACTCCTTTCAATTTCTGGACAATATTTGATATTTAGGGGAACTTTTTCGCCTTTTGTCATCCAAACACGTGTCCCATATGGTATGTTGTTATTATTTTCTGCAAATTATTACAGCATGAATCACGCATCATCACTCATCATGCTGCACAGGAGTATGTAATTACTGATGAGAGGCAAAACATGCCATTGAAGGAGGCACAGCGTGAGGGGCATGGCTCTGTCGCGAGGACAAAGTTGAGATTTTATAAACGTCATGTGGAATGAGGTGTCTGGTAGTGCCAAAGCAGAGAACAGCATGACTGTTGCTAACCGTTTGCAAACAAAGGCTGTCCACAGGAAGCCCTAGCACATGCCCTTCCTATTAGGACTACGCCTTCTGTTTCTTATTACCAGATCCTTGTGTGTAAGGTTAGATGATGCTGTGCAATTAAATGTGGTATGTTGTGTATTCTAAAGATTCCTCTCATTCATAACCCCTTTTTTTCTCCATTTTTTTGTCCTTCATCTTTGCAGTCTTCTGTCAGATCCCCTGTCTTAATGGAGGCCGGTGCATTGGCAGGGACTTGTGCTGGTGTCCGTCAAACTCAACAGGACGGTTTTGTCACCTGCCAGTCCCTCCTCCTGCCCGACCCACCCCTCAAAGCCACAGGAACCACCAGAAACCAAAATCTCCATCCCATTCCATGTACACTCTCCCACTGTCCAATCAGCCAGGTAATCACGCTCTGGCACGCCTCCCCACTCACTCTAACTTTATTAGCATGTCTTCACATTACGAGTGCTGTTAGCTTAACACTGTGATAACTCCCATCACTGGCAAGATAACAGTTTACATTGGCCATCGCTTTTCATTTTGGATATTGTGCATATTTAAGAGACCTCAGAGTGACTGTCAGTTAGCTAACATGTTCATTTCTTGATGACTCTGGCTGTACTCGTGCCTCATAACTGCAAGGTTGTCATTCTTGTAGTAAAGCTTACACTCCCAACAAAGAAGTGTCGAAAAAAGAAGCAAAACACAGTTAATAAACAACAATTGTGGGTTTCCTGGCTGTTCCTTTCTCCCAGAAGCAAAGGATCTCATGAATGCCTGCGATTAATCAGTTTCATTCAACATAAAATAATCACCTGACTTGAATTTTGCAACAGAAGTTGCCTTAATAAAAAAACAAAGGAAGAAAAAAGCAAAGCTTCATTTTTAACATTGTTTATAGTGTAGTGTTATTGCTTTCCTTGCCAACAGCAGAGGTCACTTTCTATTTTAAGCAGAACAGCTCATAGATGACTCAGTACAAGTCATCTTATTGTTCACACAATGCCGTGTCTACCAGACAGAAGATATTAGAAACAGAGCACGGCAGCAATACGAATTGTTGTGAATAAAAGAGATAAATTCACTCTCATCTCCTGGTGTAAGCTATCGTGTCCTCCTTTCTTAGTTTCTCATTTTATGGAACAGTTAAGTAGAAGCAGAAGGTCGGTCTAAATTCATTTAAATTACACATTTCATCCTCTTCTGAAAAATTAATTACTTAATAATTGCATTTAATGACAAATCCAGTCAGTGTGTTATCATGTTACAGGAAAGACATTGTTTGTCCTGCCTGTATGCTTTATATATGAAATAGAGCCATTCTTGTCCTGGACTAAGTTTTGCATTTTCTCCTTGGATTCTGCTGTGTGTGTGTGAGGTTATGATTCATGAGAGTGGGTCGGGATTCTGGGAAAAAACCTGGCACTCCCTGAAGATGGATTCTTACCCTGTGTCAGAAGGACAACAGAGCCTCACATTGCAACATCTTCTCAACTCTTCAGCAAAACTGTTTTCAGTCTTTAAATCGATTTGATTTAAACCAGAGAATCCGAAACGCTTTGTGTTGTTGTTGTTTTGTAGCATCTTAAGGGCCTCTTCACTGCCGGGAACTACCAATATGCACCAAATCTCATGACTTGATGATGAAGCAAGTGTTTGTGTAAGACTTTAGCTGAGATCTCATGCACTGCAGTATGTATATACAGATTTTATCCCTTGGCAGAGGATGCTTCCCTTTAAAGGGTTCAAATTTTGACACTGTAAACTATCTACTATGCTGTGTAAGCTTTGGATCTCTTCTTCCCCAGCATCTCTCCACCCATCCTTGGTCAACGTCCACATTCAGCATCCTCCAGAAGCTGATGTCCAGATCCACCAAGTAGCTCGAGTCCAACCTGGGCAAAGACCAGCCACCACAGAGGGGGCTCACTCTGTCCAGCAGCGCTCCCAGCCTGGAAATGGACACGAACACGCCAGCGAGCACAGCAGCAGACACCCACATGCTAACGGGAATGGTCACGGCCACGCCACAACCCACATCCGTCAGAACGGAAATGTTGGAAGATGCTTTCAGGAAACGGTCGATGGACAGGTACCGTGTACACTGCTATCTCAACTTAAATCATTACACATAAAGTATTGTGGTCTAGGTGTTGAAACGACTGGAACGCAGCGTTTTAGCCACAGCTGCCATTATATAGTCACATCCCTTAACCTTCTCTGCTAGCTGTTGCTTCAAACAGGAAGTTTGTGAAAATGATTTATGTGTAAAGTCCGGGATTTATGAGGCTTGGCCACACTGGCCATCTCATGTTCCACCACTTCCTCAACAAAAGCATGTTATGAGTTAGGATACATTCAGAGGTGAAGGTGAGGCTTGAAACCTCCCCATGTGGCCCAAACGGTGAGATTTTCATCGCCTGTGTGCTCAGAGTGTGGCACATTTTGTAGATTTACTGTGCTTTGCTTTAATGTATCCTAAAGCACTTGGGAAAAGGAAAGGACTTTAAGTGGCAGTGCGTGAGCTCGGCTAATCTTAGACCTCATACAGCATCTGTTAGCTTGGCTATTGTTGGGTCTTATTAGTATTTCAGTTGCAACAACACAACGAGTTGTTTTTGCCAGAATTAGTTCTTGAGTTTGTTTGTGCTCAAGTGCTGTTTCCATTATTTCCTCTCTGGTTAAGTAAGGAAATTTAAATTAAACCACTTAGGCACTATGTCGAAGAAGAACTAAACTTCAGCAAAAGAGCAGATTCAAATTTCCATATTATTTAACCATAATAGATTCAATCTGGAGAAAAAATATCATCTCTTAAGTTTAATTTCTATCAGACAAAATCCGACAAGTAGGGTTTGATAGGACATTTAACCAAGAGCCCTTAATGCAGCACACCAGGAGCTTCTTAGCTGTTCTTAGGACTCGGTGTGTTTATGTCCACCTCTAACTAAACAGTCCCTGGTGTCTGGTTCTCTCTGTCCTCGCAGAAAGGTACACACGCACACCCTGACACAAAAACATTTGCACCCTTGCCAGCGCGCACACGCTCTTGCACACAAACAAGCGTGCCTACCCAAACATGTAACACTCATTCTCCAAACTTGTTTCATAGATTTAACACAGATGTGTCTTGTTGTAGTGCGGCAAGCCTCTTCCAGGGCTAACCAAACAGGATGATTGCTGTGGAAGTATTGGCGCCTCTTGGGGCCTAAACAAGTGCCAAAAGTGTCCGACCAAACCAGGTAAGCTGTTCTGACTAATCCACCAGAGTTATGTAACTTTTTTCATACAGAATTAATCTAATCTGGTTTAATTCCGTTTAATTCTGTTTTGCTGTTGATGTTTGTCCTTTGGTAATCTTGCTCTGTGCCCCACATTGACTCAAAAGGTAGAGTTTTCCCACTCTGATTGCTTCATATTAAGGTGTCTAAAAATTAATGCCTTAGCAGCCATTGTTTATGGTTGGTGGAGTTTTATCAGAGCATGTTTTACAGGCCTAAACAATGCTAATGAGCGGTGATGACTAGAACATAGCGGCCTTTGTTAGATTTCTAAAAACCTTTGAAAGCGGCTGCGTGACTCGCCCATGCTCCCAGTTGTTAAAATGAAGCTGTTTTCACTTCCATAAAACCAAAACCGGGAAGCAAATGAAAACACATTTAGCATGAAGATGAGAGCCTGGCAGGCGTGCCACCCACCCTGCGGGCAAAGCAAGCCAATGTGGCCTTGAATGAATGAGGAAATGAGCAACTGGTTCTCAACCAGAGCTGCGGTAGGTAAGTGAAACAGCAGCAGGGTGGTTGTATGTTGGCAGGAAGGCTTGGTGGTGACACTGTCCACTATAGATGGGGGCTCTGACAGCTCTTTTTATTACTCGGAGAGCACAATGTGGTCCACGCACTGGTTTTGGCACTCCCACAGCGTACAGTGCCACATGGGAGATTCAGTTATTTCCCACGTCTCAATCATATTATGGTCATACCCCGCAGATTTGCTAGTTTTACTGTTAGATTGACTGTACCCTCTTTAATATCTGACCAGACGTTGATCAGAAGCAGACATCATCTCTCTCTCTTTCTGTCTCCGGCCTTGATAATAGATGTCGATCTATTCTCTTCCCTCCCACGCACTGTCTCCCCAGGCATGCCAGATTCCAATTCTTTCTAAGTCCACGGCATGATCTCTTTTGGCTCCCAGATGTTTTCCCCTGCTTCCTCCTTTGAAGTTGGGGGAGAAAACAGAGTGAATACCCAATTTGCTCATTTTTGTGGCTCCTTTTGGGGGGCAGCGTATCGTAGGCCAGGGTCACACAATGGCAAAGACAGAAAGAAAGAAAGAAAGAGGGAAAAGTTAAGTAAAAAATGAAGTATACTTATAAATACTCTCTCCCAGAAGTCTTTGGGTGAGTTTTAATACGAGAAATACTTTGAATTCCTCCAAGAGTGCTATTGTTCTCAGGGTAAAGACTTGGGCTTTATCTCTAAGCTACATTCCCTGCTTACTCGTCTAGGTGTGTGCTTTCTCATGCGTTTGATGATGTGTCTCTCTTTATTTTATAGCGACTGAGTCAGCCGTCGGCTCGCAGTGAGGAGAGAGGTTGTGCAGCTTAATAGGACTCTCCCGTGTGTCCTGTTGAGTACGTGATAATGATGTCATGAAAGCCCAGTTTGTTTCTAGGCGTGCATTACTACCATTGGTCAGTTTATTGCTAAGCATGCTGTTGACTAAGAGCAAGGCTTGCTACTTCATTTTTTATGATATTGGTAGAGGATGCCAGAATGACCGCAGTTTAATGGGGTGCTGTTGCAGACAGGACTGCTAAGTCTTTGCTGCCTGCCTGCACATCACTGTCAGTATATCTGCATCACACTCACTCGATACAGTCATATAGATCCAGAATGCATTGCTACTGTTACAGTCTGGCTGTGTCTCAAGTCCGTAAATGTACAGTTAGTTGTGTTACACAGCTGGATATTATATATTATTATGCACCAAGAACACTGTATCGCTTAGGGATATTTTGTGGGCTTGTTTTACTGTTTGTGCATGTGTTTGTGTGTTCATTATATTAAGAAGGTCTGACATTGCAGAGGCATAAATGCCAGTGTGTCCCATCTCAGTGGGAGATGAGGTCTTAGCAGTTAGTGCCTTTAAAAGTCACATGCTGAGGATTCCTGGCCTGTAATGAGTTCCAGATCGACCAGGCTGAAGTCAGCTCCATTTCTTTAGTTCGGATGATGAAGTGGAGTAACAAAGCAAACCCTGTGCTTTTCTTGGATTTTAAACCATTTCATTCCATCACTGCAATTTCTTTCAGCAATGCAGAGGTCCTCAAGTTTGAGAACTAACCAGTGACTTGTTAAGTCAAGTGAGAAGGAGAATAGGTGAGTTGGACAGGAGGTGATTTGGTTACATGAGTCCCATTAAGAGAAACTGGATCCGTTATAAGCTGAGAGGAATTTTATCCTTGAAAAGCAAGTGATAGGGCTGTTTGTGCAAATCTCTGGGTTAAGGATACATTTCAATCAGAAAATTAATCAGAGGTTCCCAGTTATCTGAAGGCAAATTGCTATGGCCCAAGTCTGACCTATACTGTCGTGTTGGCAACACACTCTATAGCTGGCAGCCTTTTCCTCACTGTGTTTCACTGCTCATGGAATTTCACAAGCCATTTGTCTCCCCATCTGTCACTGATGGGCAGCTTTCCTCTCAGTGACTCTCTCCATGAGCCAGGCTGAAGCCTTGGGAGGCTTCCCGAGGAGTCGGATCAGAGGTCCACAGGGACTTTAAGTAACCACCACACCCACGGGAGCCTTGGCTTCCTCTCTCTAACCCTACCTTCCTGGGTCACCGAGGTCACTGTGTTGTCACTGCCCTCACACTGTTTTGCCCCACCCTCAATTCGACCTCTGTCTGTGTAAGTCATCTGCCTGTTTTTGCTCCCCACTCCTCTGTTTTCTCTCTGTAATGAGGAAGCTATTCTTCATGAGGTTTAGATCAGTAAAGTCAGATGAGGCGAAGGAGAGCCGGTGGGGGTCGGGGGGCACTCGGAGAGCTCCACAACTTCCAGATCTTCCCACATGATTTCATCCCTTCCTAAATCTTCCATCTATTCCTGAGACATTTAAACTGACCAGCCAAAGCCTGTGCTTCTTGCTTTTTATTAGCGCTGATCAAACACGAACACTTGTTAATGACCAACAAAAACCAGAGATGCGATTACTTTGCCTTAGAAACAAGCAGCAACAGAACAGATGCACTGGAACAACTTCACAGCAGCTTCTCGTGGTGATCAGATAGTGATGTCGCATCTCTTTGACAGCATTTGATTCATTGATGTTGACTTAGCGTTATCCCTTAACAACTCAAAGTATGGAATCTATTAGCTGGGCAGCAGTGTAGCTAATCACTGCCGACCTAACCACCACGAGAAATAAATCCCAGTTGGAGGCGCATGGATTTGAAATTTAATTCGATACAAGCTACGTTAAGCATGCTTTTTTTTATTGGGAATGTACCGTGGCATGCCTTATTTTGGAAGAAGCCCAGGTGGTAAATAGTCCACAGATATTATGGAGGAATGTGGTTCTGTTTTAAATGTGTTTCATGCGGGTTACACTGCCATCAGCATCTTGGAAAAGGACATTAAGCAAAATTGTCAAACTACAAACACTGACATGACATGCATACTTTCGTGAATAGAGACAATGAAAAGTATGTTTTCAGTAAAAGATTTAATGTGGCAGAAAAATGAAATAAACTCCTCATCAAAGCTGTTTTTGTCATTGCATCATATGTCCCATGGGATCGTTGTGTGAAAGCAATACTATACAGATGAGACTGCTGTTGATTGAGCAAATCCAGTATGTTGCAGCTTTTATACTGGTATGCATTCGCAGTGTGACGCTCATGCTAACCGCACGTATCTTTGCTGATTAGCTTTAGCTTCACTTGCAGGGACGTATTTACAGGCCGTGTGATATGGTCTGTGCCAGATTGGCAAGTATGGCTTTTGCCAAGGAAACATTCTGTTTTGAGAGAAAATGACTTGTCTTTAAGCTGTTTGCTCCAATCAAGTATTGGCTCCGGGGCCAAGAAGAGATGGCTCTGCCATCGTTGCGATTCAAAAGACCTGAAACTCTGTGATGATTAAAGAGCTCCGTTTGCTCCTTCTTTTAGTTCGTCCTGTGGCGGGATGTCAGAAAGTAATTTTATGGAAAAGATCATGAGGTCTTGGCTTTGCTCTTGGGTCTTTTCTTAGAGTATACCCCGATGGAAGAGAAAGGAAGACTGTCTACCGTTTGCATCCTGTGGATGGCATCCATCCCTCCTCCCTCTTGTCTCCCACAAGTTCTCAGGTTTTCCAGTTGGTTAAGAGAAGAAGCCCAACACTGAGGCAAGTCCCTGGAGAAGCTGGTGAAGGGCTCTGAGCCCTGTGATTGATGGACCAGACCACTCAATCGTCTTAGAAGAACTGCCTGCAGGCCGGGTGGTCTACATTGTGATCGCACCAAAAATCTGCAATTAAAGATTTCTGTATGGCTGAGAAACCCATCTGACTCTAAGCTTTCTCCCTTCTCAGCTTCCTGTCTCTTTTTTTTCTTAGCCAGCTCTCTTATTTTGCATAAGCTGTCCTTTCATTTGAAATCCCAGCAGTGCTTTTCACTAAACAAATTTTACTTAAGGGATTTATTCAGATTTAAGTTAGGATAACACCAGCTATCAAGAAGTTTCAAGGAATCTGAATTACACTTTCAGGTCAGGGAATTTGAGCAAATATTATTGAACAGCCTCCAGTGGAATGCACAACACAACTGAATGGAGATGGACAATAAATTAGTGAGGCGTGACGAAGTCTTTTGTTGAACAGGGCTAAATGGATAGACAACAATTGAAAGGTTTTGTCTGTTCCCTCTGTGGATACAGACAAGTCTGAGTTTACAGTCTTTGTAACCAAGGGCGACACTAATGATGCGCAGCTTGAGCTCACTCTTGCAAGCCACTGGCTGTGGAGCTCTATATTTTCTACACAAATGATTGTAGAAACAAGCATGGGAACTGGCACGCCATTAAATCAGGACACAATCATGCTTTACTTTTTGGATATTAATGAAAATTACACAGCCAAGTTGTCACCCATTTTTAGTTTTGGGGCTGATTATCTTTTCTTGAGGTTGATGGTTAGAAGACAAGGTTCTGATTCGCAGATACAGTTTCAACCAGTAATTAGGAAAGTCATTGTGAACTTTGGCAGGCAGAGCGCTTTTATGCATTTTTTTAACTAGCCACAAACAGCTCAACCCTGTGGACCAATAAAACTTTTACTGAACTTATCTTAAAGTTCAAGCATTTTTAGGTCCAGGATATGCTTAAGGAAACTCTAAGTACTATCCGCCTGTTAGCTTGTAGTGAGGAATTGATTTGAGTACAGGATACAGAATCTAAAGCTTTATTAATTAACAAATGACACTTCAAAAAACTGGCAGAAGAACCTAGAAACCCAAAAGAGGAGAAAACCAACCTTTACTCAGCAAACTAAACTGACATCTAAGGAAACAAACAGGAATTTTAAAAAAGTCAAGGCAAAAACTTGGAAACCTGGTGGGCACATGAGTGCAAATAACAGATAATCTAACAAAGATACAGAGGAAGGAGGACTCCAAATACACAGAGCAGTGATTACATGATGAGACACAGCTGGGAGCAGGCAGACAGGTGAGAACAATCAATGACAGGTGAAGTCAGTCACAAAGGAGGAAGTAAAACTCGCACAAGACAGGAAAGAGAACCCTTCAAAGTAAAACATGAAAGCCAACTAGATACAAGTCTTAAAAGTAGCGTGATAAGAAAGGTGTGAGCCTGAAGGTGAGATAGAGGAAACATAGACAGGAAAATAAAAGGAACTAAAGGTCAATTGAAAAATAAAATCAAAACACTAGAACGGGGATGTTGAACTCGTTTTACATCATGGGCCACATACAGCTCAGTTTACAATTGGGTAAAATTTTTGGCATCACTGTCAGTGAAAAAGAGTTTAACCATGAATTTAATCCCTGAGATATCTTATTATTAGAAACATAAGTACAATTTCAACAGCATGTCTCAGTTTTTTCAAAAAATTCAGCTGTAGCAAATCAAAGACATTTGTCAGCACAACTGTTTGGGCTTCACCTCTAAGAAATAAATGTGTAAAATTTACAGAAAAAAGTTCTGGTAGCTCAGAGCCTATACTGTTCTGTAATTATAAAGCAGAAATGTCTGTTAATTTACAGAAAACGTCCTTTTTCGGGGTGTGGTCCCATTGTAAGAACAGGAATTTCTTTAGTTAGTAGTGAAAAAACAGGAAATTTAATTCTTTAATCAACATTTAATTTAATGTAATTATTTTGGTGTAGTGTGAATAGCCATGGGTGAGGTCTTTATCAGCAGGAAAATCTGTAGAACTTGTTAAAATACATTTAAAAGTCCAAATGCCCTCCTTCACAATTTTTCAAAGCCATCCACTGAGCCAGTTCTAGCCCTTGGACCTTATGTTTGACACCCCTGCACCACGAAAATAGTTACCCAAAGATGCACCACAACTAGATAAACATAAGAAAGGTGAACTGGAAGTAGAATTATAATGATAAACTCACCGTTACTAGAATAAAAATGACATCAATCGAGAATCCAAAACTCAGATACACGAAAAAACCCCCAAGACCATAATGGCACCAAAACAGAGCCTATGCTAGCAGTACTTTACTGTTAGCATGCCTGTATATGTGCCTGTATATGTGCAAATATTTCAGTTTTTCACCACTGTTACTCAAATAATTAGGCTTTAAAGATGCACAAGCACAACATATTACCTCTCTCTCAAATTCATCTTAAAGCTGTTCATCTCTGCAGGGGGTCTTCTTCTCCCTGCTAATAAGCTTTATTGAGACTCCCGGACCTCCCCCACTGTGCTTCCCTTGGCATGTGCGCCCTGCTGTCACTCAGGCCAGACTTTCCTTGATCCCCTCACTGCGGGAGGACGTGCCCGTCGCTCCTACCACAACATCTCATTACTCAGAAACTTCGGAGGGGGATTAGGAGGGTCTGGAGGAAGATGAGGAGGTGGGCAGGCAGGAATTGAATTGAATTGAATTGAATTGAATAGGGGCGTTGCTTTGACACAGTTCCCCCCTTTTCGAGTTGCCCGCTTCATGCTGACCCACTTCTGCTCTGTCAACCCTCAGGTACATTGACCCTGCCTGATCGACTGGGTCACAGCGGGACCAAAGCACAACTCAGCTTCCAGGACTTCATTCCCAGAAGTGCCACACATTCCAGTCACTCCTGGGAAAATGACACAAACTCATGACTGATTGCTGGGTTTTGGTTTGATGGATTGCTGTCTTGGCATTTTGACTCTTGTACACTATATAGTAAATAAGGGAGCACCTGAATCAATACCGGAAGCATGTATTTAACACTGGTGGCATGGACAGACAGAAAGAACTGATGGATTATAGAGAGGTTCTTTTCTGGTTCTTCTTACCCTGTCAGGCATCATTTACATCTTACTAGAGCACTCTTTCAGTCAACAACACATTGGTTTTCTTGGGCTGAACCGAATTGACTTCTCTCCCTTTCCCAAATACCTCTGCTGGCAAAGCAGTGGTGTTTTACGTTCTTGCGTGCGTCACGTCTTTTCTAGACCCTTCGTCACTGTGGCAGCAGATTCAAAGCAATGCATTGCTGTGGTATAATGTTATTTTTTACGCCCATAGTGTGAATCAAAAGATTGTCATTGCTGTCATTCCTTTCTTGAGCAGAAAACCTTCATGGTTTTTTTTCCTCTCAGTGGATGATGACTTGAAGAGGGCGAGTCTTTAGCCAAATCTGTTTGGTTGTGTGGGCGCTGAGTGGCAGTTGTGTTGGCATGGTTAAAACTCCTGACTTTTCATGTGCTGTATGCTGGTGCATGATCACTTGCACTTAATATCATCCCTCAGATGCTTAAGGCTATTACACAAATTCAGCCTTACCAGTCTGAGAGAGTAATGAGCATACTGGTGGTCATGCTCTGCACCTGATGCCCCACTTTCAGGCTTAGAAGTAATGGAAGTGCTCCACAGGTACACAAGGAGATGACTTTGAATCAGACAGTGACCAGATTTAAATAGTTTATGCTTTTTATGGGCAGAGAGAGAACTTTTGATTGCACCTCATATAGTGTATATAGCACACTGTTATAATCATTTCTCTGAGCTGTCTGGTGTGTGTCGCACTGTGAAGTCTATAATAGCTAAAGACTCTTCTGTCTTGCTAACAAGCATATCATTATTCTTTACAGTCCTCTACAGCCAAAAATACATGTTTTTTTTCTTTCAAATCAGAAGTTAGATATTATCTTTTCAACATTCATAGAGAATCTGAGTCATCTGAGTCATGGAAAGATCTGGTACCAATAATCACTGTCTATGTTAAGAAAGACTTTCATAGAGTCCCCCCTAATCTCTGTTAAAAAACACAGATATGGATACACACACATTTAGACACTAACAGGCTTACTCTTTGCCACATGATAGCCACATTGACCCCCTGTACATTTAATGGAGCGTGCCGGGGCTTGACTGGGTGCTGAATGAGTAATGACACCATGTTTTTTAGGCTTCTAACACTGACAGTTTGCCCGCACTGGGGCAGTAACCGACAAATGTGTTATTTACTGCAGCACCTCTCAAGCGCACACCTGAAACACACACATGCCATGTGATTTGTACTGCTTTGGCAAAAAACAAGCGTTAAGACATTTTGGCCAATCATTTTCCTGTGAGCAGCACATTAATCGTCATTCCTTGTGCGCACAGTTAAAGTATTAGTCTCTCGTTTAACTAGATTTGCAGCGTGGTTGATGAAAACGGTCAGGGCTGTCATAAAGGCTTAGTCAACAAATTCATGATGTTGTGCCTAGGGATTTACACAATTATGAATGGCATAGAGCATTATTACATTTTGTTGGATGACAAAGCTGCCTTATGTGTCAACTACATTAACTTATGTAGTTGATGGGGAGCCCATTTGACTCTTGCTGGAGTCCCTCAAGGCTCAGTTGTGGGTTCCTTGTTTTTCCTATTACTGAGACCTTAAATTCCCTTAAATTCTCCTAAACTTGAGCTCCTTCTCTTCTCCCTCTCTGATGAAAGCAGTCCTCTGTACCAAAGAAGCATAGCACATCATTTAACATCACTGAGCTTCTCTGAACTGTTGTTTTTGTTTCTGTTTACAGCATATGCAGTGATCGCGAATGGACAGGTGGAATGTTCCAAAGGTTTTAAACGTATGAATGTCACACACTGTCAAGGTAAGCCTTTGCATGAAATATGCTGGAAAAGGTTTAAACATTTTATGAGCTTTAAGTGACTGCATGTTTATTTTAGCAGTAACAAAGATATATTACAAATAATTAAATGACTGTGTCCACTTCATCGGGCATATCTTGCTAGTACCAGGTTGGACCCTCTTTCACCTTCAGAACTTCTTTAATCCTTTGTGGCATAGATTCAGCAAGGTGCTGGAAGGATTTCTCAGAGATTTTAGTTCAAGTTGACATGACAGCATCACACTTGCTGCTCTTCCATTATATTAATTTACGGTTCCACCACGTTGGATCGAGGTCAGGTGAATGTGGAAGCTATTCGAATAAAGTGAACTCATTGCTATGTTCAAGAAATTAGTTTAAAATTGTATTAGCTTTTTGACATGATGTGTTCTGATGGCTTTGCCGAAAGCAGCCATCAAAACATGGGTGCACTGTGGTCATGGACAATACGTAGGTAGGTTGTGGCATTTAAATGATGCTTGACTGGTACTAAGGGGCCCAAAATGTGCCAAGAAAACATCCATCCACCATAATACTACAAACACCAGCCTGAACTGTTGATACAAGGCAGGATGGATCCATGTTTTCATGGTGTTTACCCCAACTTCTGACCCTACCATCTGAACGTCTCAGCTGAAATCAAGAGGCATTAGACTAAGCCCATCTGCTTCAAGGTTTAACATTTTGCGTGATCAGAGATGGTCTTCTGCATACCTTGGTTGTACCAAGTGTATCTTTGAGTCACTGTTGCCTTCTTATCAGCTCATAGCAGTGTGGCCATTATCTAACAAGACATTTTCTCCTGGAGAACTGCTGCTCCCTTGATGCTTTCGCTTTTTCTGATCATCCTCTTTTAACCCTAGAGATGGTTTTGTGGGAAAATTCCAGTAGATCAGCAGTTTCTGCAATACTGAAGACCAGACAAGCCTGTCTGGCATCAACAACCACATTCAAAGTCACTTAAATCAAGTTTCCTCCACATTGTGATTCTCAATTTAAACTTAAGCAGGTTGTTTTGACCATGTCTACATGCTTAAATGGCTAAATACATGCCTGTTCTAGTCATTGATATCACCAAATCCACTATCTTGAATGTTACTCGTGATAGCTACATATGAATCATTTCTCCACCTCCTAGAGGGGCTGCTTATAGTGGCCATCTAGCTCACAGCACATTTCTAGAGCAGAAGAAGGACTGCTGTTGTCAACACCGAATGGCATAGAAGACCTCCAGCAGCAACCTGGTTAGCCCCCCAGTGGGGAAACTCGAGTTTGCAAAGAAGTAGTTTCAAAATCTTCAAATGTTCAGATTATACTGTGGTAACCAATGATGTACCTGGAGAACACACTTAATTAAAGTCCTTGCTTGGGAGACTGACTTTTTTGCCCCCCACTTCCCATGTCTGGGAAACAGGTCAAGACCACAGTTAGGGTTTGTCTGGGGTCAGAGTTCAGCAGTCAATAAGCACCTGGGGCTCCTGTTTTAATTGGTCTTGGGGTTCTGAGTTAATGTGGTAGGCTGTGATCGTGGCATGGATGGCTCTCTGAGTACTTGTGAGCATCAGATTGCTGCTTTGCCTGCTTTTCCTGTCCATCTGTATGTAAAAACAAACATGGTTGTCCCTGAACATATACACTGTGTTATCGTCCATTTCAACATCCCAGCAGTGGCTGTTTGTCATCTTGTGTTTGGTTTAGGAATCAGTAAACACCCACAGTGTCAACTCTCCCGCTAAAGAATTCCAACCATTTGCATTTGTTGGTGTCAGTAAATAGCCTTGGAAATGGCTCAATAATGTGTACTTTATTGATCCTTTATTTACTTTATTTTCCGTGGGGAAATTCCTCTCTGCATTTAACCCATTCACTCAGTGAAGCAGTGGGCAGCCACTGGGCGCCCAGGGAGTAGTGTGTAGAGACGGTACCTTGCTCAGGGGTACCTCAGGGTAGCCGTTCAGTGGATTCGAACCCCCGACCTTCCGATCATGGGGCCACCACTCTGCCTACTGAGCTATCCCTTCCCTTACACTGACAACTGAGGCTAACAGTTACAAACTGCAGCTTTTCTGATGGCTCACATTATCATGTCATGATCCAAAGGGCAATGCTTGCTGAGGCATATGGAGTAGAACAACCTAAAAGTCCAGTTTTGACTCTCCGTATAGAAGACCTCATCCTTTAGTTCAGCAAGTTCAACATGTTTTCTGCAGAGAACAATAACAATATTCATGTTTTCAGGTAATTATTGAGCAGGACGCTCCTGTTTTCCAATAATGTGTCGAGCAGCCAATGAATGTAGAAATTTATCTTTCTATTATTCATGCTTTTCTTCTGTGATTGCTTCAAGATGTTTCCCTCTTCCAGTTGCTCCTTTCCTGAGTTCCAAAAAAGCAAAGCTGACAGTTACCCACAATATTTACTAAAGTGCTTTAAATCTGCGTTCGGCTGCTGCTCCGTTCCCCCAAAAATAATTTCTAATTTAAGGGCTTTTGCCAACTGCCAAGAAGGAAAAAAAATCAGCTTTTTCTGAGATTTTGTCATTATTATTAGGATGGGGTCAAGCCCTCCTTCCTGTGGCTCCAGTCTCGAGCTGCTTGTAATGTGTTTTATTGGAACAGAACAGGGCTTGTCTTGTATTTGGTAATAGTCCTGATTTACTGCCAGTTTGCCTACATCCGCTGACCTTTGCGGTCAGTGACATCGTCGCCACAGCACGATAAGATTTCCTATCAGCGTTATGCTCTCAGGTCTCAGACTTCAGAGATGATTCCTTATCTTCAGAGGCTTCCTACTCAAAAATTTGGGTCACTGAATTGGCCATTTGTAGCTGTGGTTGTTAGATGAAAAAGCCCACAGAGATGCATGTGCAGGCCCTGTTGTGGGTGGTAAACTAGTGCTGGGAGCAGGTCACATTACTCATACACCACTTCAAAGAGGAGATTAATGAAGTCTTATGCAACTCTTTGGACATTTTTGATCAAGTTAATAAAAGCTGCTTATGATTTCACAACACTGACATTTGACACTCATCGTGTCGACTTGCTACCCTGGTATTCAGGCTGCAATACTGATAGAGAAATATGTTGAAAAAGCCTGGTTTTCCCAGTAATGGCGCTTTGACTAAATTCTGACCATGTGTATTCACTTCACAGACTTCCAAAGTGGTCCAAAGGTGCTCTCTTTACTCACAACCCAAAATACACAGTACAGGGAGCAATGTTGCCAGTTTGCTTTACATAGTTCCTGTAGATAATTCTGTAGGTGTTCACATGGGTTTTGAACAAAGAGGGGAAAGGTCAAGTAAGCAGCAGACTGTTTGACGCTAAAATCAGGGAACTTTGTCATGTGCTGGTAGACTATAAAAACAGTCACGCTAAAAGCCGTGAGCTCTTACCACAAGTGATGTTTGTCAAGAAGAGCAACCAAGCATAAATTCAGAATAGATGTTGAGATTAGTGCTGGTCATGGAAGGTTGTCACGGAAGCCGGTTTCAATTTAAATCAACCCACCAGCAGACTGTAACAATACCACTAATCTGGGACTCGACTGAATCATGGATTAAAGACCATGTGATAAATGGTGACCTGATTTCAGGTGTCCAGACGCTACCTGAACTAAAGTTAAGTCACTGCAAAAAGTGTAGACTTGGGGGAAACCGGCATGACATCAGTCGTTTCTTCACAGTATGTCACTGTAAGGTGGAAAAGCACAATGAAAACCCAAAATGGAAATGAAAAAGGGGCAACAAACAACAAGAAAAACATTAAGGCTTTCCCTGGATTTCCTTCAGCCCATTGATTTTATCAGCCTCGACCTTTTGTAAGCTCACTTTTTCCAGCAGGAAGGAAAACAACAAAACAAGAGCAGATTCATTAAAATTGGGGGAAAATCTGTGGTGGCAGGTTGTCGGGTTCTAGTCGTCAACGCACTGGGAAAAGACCTAATGATGTACTCTTTGTTTAACACGGTAGAACAACAATCCTTGCCTGGTCCTAGTGTGATCACATGACTAAGCGCCTTAAGCATGTCCCCCTATGCTTCTGGCTGGCACACTTGTTAGCTTGTCTCCGTTTACCTTAGGGACTCAGGAGCTCTTGGAGCGAGAGGCAAACTCCTCTGGCCACTCTACCATTTCTGCATGTGGTTTAAGCCAGACGGAGGAAAAAATAAATACATTTTAAAAAATCTCTTTAATGACTTTCACTTATTGACGTAAGCTGAGGAAACCGTATTGGACGCTGTGAAGGAAAGATGCTGAGGATGATGACAGTCTGAAACTCTCAGTGATATCCTCTATGATTACATGTGTTCCCACAGCTGCAATATTTTACTTTCCAAATATGACAGGATTTTGAGCGTGTATTGTTTTACACCCGTCAAATGTATACGTCTCCCTCCTGTCATCACGATTTCATGCAGTTGTGTAACCTTAATGTTTCCATATTTCATCGCTTCCCCACAGCGAGCGGCTTTGCTTACATGATCTGTTGCAATTTGACACCTTTCAATGTGTGAATCATTGCTGCCCAGTGCATTGGAAAGAAAATGCACCAAAGTTGATATTGATATGTGCAGCTTTGGTGGGGGGGTGAGACTGAAAATCTATTTTTTTTCCTGGGAATAAACATGACTTCATGAAATTTCCATAAGCCAGGATATATTCGAAATGACTGATGTACTCTGCCTATTTCACAGACATCAACGAGTGCCTGTTGCCTGGAATATGTAAAAACGCTGAATGTCTCAACACCAAAGGAAGCTACAGGTGCACATGTAAACCAGGCTATATGTTAGATCCTGCCAGAAGCCACTGTGTCTGTAAGTATTGCTCGGTTTTTTTGGATTCGTAACACACACTTTAAGACTAGGCTTTCTTATGCCTTTCTTGTGTTCCAATTTCTCTTCTCTACCAGCGGACAAAGCAGTGTCTGACCAGAGGGCGTCGTGCTACAGGTCTGTTTCAGCGGGGACATGCTCTCTGCCACTCACTAATCACCTCACCAAGCAGATCTGCTGCTGCAGCAGAGTGGGCAAGGCCTGGGGAGCTGGGTGTGATCGTTGTCCTTTACCAGGATCAGGTACAGCCCCAAAAGCTACCCTGTGCTCCTCTTCTGCTGACCCAAAAAATGATCTTGTTTTCTATTTCTGCATTTACTGTACTCCCCTTCTTGAGTTAAACGCTTTTGCAGAAATAAAGTGTTGCATGCAATCTTATGCAAGGGGTAGCAATGGTAATGAAAGAATAGGGGGGAAAAAATTTTTACCGCTCAGTCACCGTTCTGTTCTTTGCCAGGCGTGTAATGCAGTTCAAAATAGCTAACTGTGTTTGGAGTGGAAAAGGACCAAAAACATAACAGTTTTCATATTTTGGAGGCTACATAAGAGTGGGAGTCAGTCTTGTGTTATCGCTCCAACCCTCAGAGAGAAACCCCACTAATAAACCGGCAAAGCTTCACAGCAGAAATGCGTGACCTCGCCAAGTGAAACATGGGAAGTAGTTGTCGTTTTTTCATACTGATTTAATCTTCAAAGTCTCTGAGAGAAACAAGCTGGTTTTATTGAGTGTCTGTACTGGCCAGTGATTCATGGGGATTGTCATAGATCAGATATCATAGACACAGACCTCCACGGTGCTGCTCAGTTAGGACCGACGCAGTGCATGGGCGCACAGCCTTTGATTATTTCGGACGTTAGCTTTTTGGATGGCCTGAAAAGCTGTTAGACCCCTGAACAGAGCAGCCAGAGCCATTACTTGTGACTCGGTAACAGGAGCCCAATGAGTTTAATTCCATATTTACGCCGATTCTTCAGATGTGGCTTCTGATCATATATAGCCCCATTTCCCTCCACTTTAAATTCATCATTCAGTAGCCTATCATATCCACGTTTCCTGTATTTACACAAGCGTTTACAGTGACCGCATATCTGTCATTACTCATATCTCTATTCCAGACTCTTTTGGCATAGAGTAGCCGGGTTTCAGGTCAGGTAGGGGACAAAGAGCCTCTCACTTGTAATGGATTCACCATTGCTGATGCTTTTTGGACTCAGATACAAAGAGGTGCAGTCTCCCGCCTTTTATCTAGCCAGCCAATCCTCCATTAGCCTCTCACTCACATGCCTTTACACCAAAGAGTTCAAAGGTCATTCAGCATTACATGATCTTCTACTTCCCACAGTGGCACAGTTGTGTCTGTTTGTTTGAGAGTGCCGATATGCCCACATGTTTTCAAATCCTGTCGCTGTTAGTCTCCTCTGACAGCTGTCACTGGCCTGGCAGCTTGCTAAGTTCTGCAGCAGTCACCGAAACCCAATCTCCCCGTTCACAGCAGAGCATAAAGTACAGCGTGCCTGTCGTAACTGTATTACATGGATGGCTTATGGTGTTACTTTGAATATCAGATAGAAATAAGAGCCACGATTATGCTGTCAAAAGTTAAATGTCAGTTTTTCGAGCTCAAGCTCAGAATGCAGAGGTGATGTTTTCGATCACTTACTGGTCGCTCCTGTGTCTCCTGTGCTGCAGACCACTTCAAGGAGATCTGCCCCGCTGGCCACGGATACACTTACTCGCGATCTGACGTCCAGATTTCTCTTCGACAGCTGGATGATGTCGAGCTGCAGAGCATGGGAGTGTCACTCGAGGATGAGAGCCCTACTTATCCGCAGTTTCCATTTTCTCAGCCTTCGTTCCCCAGTGGGCCCCAGTACCCCAGCTACCCCGAAACACCGCAGCTACCCCAATACCCCGAATACTCTGAGACCCCACAAGCACCCCAGTACCCTTTGACTCCACAGCATCCCTCACATCCAGCCAGAGAAACACCTAGACTGCCACACACAGATGGTAAGAATACGTTTTATGTTGGTAAATATTCGCACTGTATGACAAAGAGTTGAAACAGTGTTCTTGGCGAATGCATAGGCCTTGGATGTTACCTAAACATGGTATTCATTTAAACCCGAGGATGTTTCAGTCAGGACCACCATACAGTGGTCAAAAGAAGAGTCAATTCTCTGGCAATGATTTACATTTGACCGTATGGCTCCGATCTGGGACCTGGAAAGCACAAGTCAGCCTTTCATGCCAGGCAAAGCAGCAGCAGGGCCATTCAGATCAGAGCATGCATCAGTGAGAGCAGATGACATTCATTAAGTCAGACCCAGAAGAAAAAGGGAAAGCTGGGGTGGAGCTGTTCTGCAAAGTGTCTCGAAGATGCAAAGCAACTATAAGTTGGCTAGAGGAGCTTAAGTAGTGCTTAAACAACACATACCAACTGGATGCATCAACTGACATGGGCTGGCACGTAGATCAGCTGATGAGTTTAGTCTGTCAGAAGAGCGACGAGCTTGATTTTTGCCACAGCCCGTGGCATAAACAGTTCAGAGCAGCTGCAATAATTGCACAATGGCATTTTTTAAAATACAGGATGCAGTACGTTAACATTATTGTGAAAATGTAAACATCAACAAGCTGCTTTGATCTCTGCGAATAAAAGCTTGATAGGTGGAACATATTCACAGCCGTCTAAGCGAAACCCCAGCGAGCATCAAAGAAATGCACACAAGTAATCCACACGGATCATGAATCTTAATCCTCAGGATTTTAAGCAAATGCATCTTCCTGATTTAAGGTTTGTGAGATACTGTATTGGCAGTGCTGCAACATTTTGATTTGTATGTGGAGACAGTTCTTTAAACATTTTGGGATTTTTGTCTTCATTATCGGAGATATCTAATTCCATGTTTTTCTTTCATGTTTCTTGGCCAACAGTGTGCACTATCTCTCACAAATATTTGAAAGAAAAAAAAATCTGGCCAATTTTTGTTAGGGAAAAAAAAGGATCACCAAAGCTGCAGACGAGTGTCTAAAGGCAACATGCGTGTATACATAATTGAACAAAAATGTGTTTTGTGATGGCACATGTTAATGCAGATGTAATGTGTTCTCCACTGATAAACTTTTCCTCTTTTTTTGTGGTAGATGTGGAAAGTCTGAGCCCGGTAAGTTCTCCCTCCTTTGGTGCATGCTTCTTCTCGGCATGTGTTCTAGCTATTTCAGCTGGAGGGTTTGTTATGATTATATAACTTCTTCAGACCACATTTTGGTAGATGCGCACATCTAATTAGCACAGAATTTACCAACAAATACCGGAATGCTGTGAATATAAATATGGTGGTGAAAAATGTAGCCCAAATGTTTTTTGATGAGTAATATTTGCTTGTTTTCCAGCCAGCTGTTGTGACAGAGTTACCGCCGCAGTATCCAGGTATTTTCTCTTTTCCTTCTTTATTCATACAGATCATACGAGACTGGTAGTTGAACAAGTGCCTCCAGCTGTTGTTTAATGCCTCTTTGGGTTTGATTTACAATCTCTAAGCTTTCTGTCAAGCACAGACATGTTGTGTAATTTCTATAAACTGCTCCCACGCAGTAGTGGCATTCACAGTCTTGACTTTGCCCTCACGCCAGTGAAAACACTGACATTCAAGTCTGAAGGCTATGTTCAATGAGTCTACCTGATTTATTTTGGTCATTGTAATTTGTTTTAGCCTGGAAAAATGAGTGGATCGCTTTTATAGTCTTGAATAGGCAGCTAAGGCATTAGAGTGGCTGGCAAATCAAGCGGTGTCTTGTTTTGGTTGTAGAGACTAGAACCTGTCAAAGTTTCAGAGAGATTTAGTTGACTTTGTCATTTGTGCTTATCTAGTGCCCCATGACTCACCTTAACTGTCTTAATAGATATTTTTCCGGACTTCCCGAGCATCAACCCGAGGCCGGATTCAAAGGAACCATCCCATACTGATTCAGCTACAGGTAAACAATAGATTAAAAAGTCACATTGTAGGAAATCAGATATATTCAGCCCCACTTCATACATCTAAAACAAAACAAACAACATGGCAATGAACAGGTGGACAGGAAGTTGCTATGTGAAAGAGCACCACAGGGCTCAGCTCTTCATTTTTTATACACTCTGTAAACTTCTGGCAGACAGCAGCACGACTCATAGGGCATTTTTGTAGGCTTACCCAAAGTAAAGCTGGAGAGAGCTTAATTTGACCCCTTTTCCCAGAGCCAATTTGGCTTGAAGCTGCTATTCCGCACAGAGGGTGAGAGGGCGAGAAACCAAGAAAGAGTGTGCCTTTTGGAAGAGGAAGCTACTCTGAGTGGACAGAGGCCAGATTTATGAAAAACTTAGGAAGAGCACGGGACATGGTGAAAGCGCGTTTGCGTGACAGACTCAGCGAGAGAGTGACAGAGAGATTTAGGAAGTGAGAAGAATTTATAGTAATCTTATAGAGAAATGGGATTTTTGTTTGGTTTTTTTTTCGTCAGCCAGACCCAGAGGCCCAGTTTAACATGGCTCTTTTGGACAGAAAAACACAAGTACAAAACTAATGTCAGGCTCTACTGTGCATGACCTGTTTCTTGCCGAACACTTTGTACGCGCGCCATACCACCTGTTGGAACGCTACAGCGCTGTAAAACCAGCGCTCCCATCCACGACTCCACCTATAAAACAGCACGATGAGTTCCCATGGAGAACAACATGTGTTCGTGGAATGCACATTTATATATTTTTTTGGTTTTTTAGACCAATCTTGTTTGTTTCTCAAGTGACAACTCTGCACATCTTTGTTCCTATCCATAGGTATTGACAAGTGTGCCACGGCCCCCTCTATATGTGGCCGCGGGAGATGCGTTTCTGTGCAGACCGGCTACATTTGCCTCTGCGAGCCAGGGTTCAAGCTCAGTGCACTGCAGACCAACTGCATTGGTAACTAACAAATGGAGCAAGAGCGAAAAATGAAGCAAAACAGGGGTAACAGTGGGACACTCAAAGAGAAGGGGGAGCACACAAACACACACAGACATGCTGACACCAGATGCCACGGCAGCTCTGTCCGTCATCATCACAGTAAAAGCCAGTCTTCATCACCAGTGATTCTAAACCTTTGAGAAATTAAGTGAGCCAAAATGAAAGGACTCTGTTTGTTTATGCTACCCTGTCCTGTGATGCTTGACAACAGCTCACGTCCCATCCAGAGAGCTGATGCTGTGGTCCTTTTTTTTTCCGCAAAGGCTTTCGGACACAGCCTCTGCTCCACACAGCTGGGTTTCGGCCCGTGTTGTTTCTGTTTCATAGAGGAAGCTCTAAAGTCGGTGCTTTAAAAGTGTACTGTGCTGGTGAAGTGCAACAGCCGCGTGCTTTCCTTTCTTTTTCTGTAGATGTGAATGAGTGCGATGAGGATCCATGTGAAGGAAAGGGACGTTGTATAAACAGCTATGGGTCCTACACCTGCCACTGCCACAGTGGCTACAGCCAGGTGATCACTCAGAACAGGAAGTTCTGTCAAGGTGAGACACAGCCCCAATCAACAGTAGGAGATATAAAGTTTCCAATGGAAACTAAGCACCGCGAGTCCTCGTCTGTCAGCGCCGTTCATTTTAAAAGTATTCTGCCCTAATTAATGCTGCGGAACACAACAGTAACTTTCTTTTTTCCCTTCTCCTTGGTTTTCATTCAAACTGGCAGACATTAATGAGTGCAGCATGCCCAACAAATGCCAGAATGGCAAATGCGTCAACACAGAGGGATCTTACACCTGTGAATGCAACGCTGGCTACGCCAAGTCTCGGAGAGGCGCGTGCGAAGGTAACTTGCGTGCGTGCACAAGCAGCTACGCACACAGGCTCAAGTTCACATAACAGGGCAGTCCCGGCCAGGCCTATTTGTTTGCTTCCATGAATTAGCTGAATGAGCTGGGCACTAACAAAACACATATTGTATTTTCCTTTAGTCAAAGCCAGGAAGAAAACTTTGCTCATTCTGTGACAGACGGACTGTGTATGTGTACATTTGCGGCCTTACACCCTCTCTTTCTTCCATGCATGCACGTATTGTCTTAGTAACATTGTTTTAGCAACATCTCATTCAGATTTTTATTTTTCCTATTTTCCACTTTGTCCCGGAGCAGATATAGATGAGTGCAGAGATCCCAGCTCCTGTCCCAACGGCGTCTGCGTCAACACTCTCGGCTCCTTCCGGTGCCAGGTTTGCGGACCAGGGTTCAGGCCTGTCGGTGAAAGATGTGTGGGTAAGGCAACCTCACACCCCATTATAGCAGTGGCACCAGTACCCAGGATCCTAAGGGTGTTTCCAACCGCTGCATGGAAACAAACAGGGCTTCCCTATTATGTATTAGGTAACTTTTACCTACTTGAAGCTGCTGTTCCTGGTTGGCATCACTCGAAAAAACCTAACAAAAAAACAAGGCAACAGGCCATGCCATTAAAGATGTGTTGACAGCCGATGATGCAGTACAGCTCCCCAAACAAGCAGAACTAAATTTGCAGGATTGTGGCTTTTTGCTCAAAGGGACTGCTGATGTGCATTAAAATGATAAAATAAATAGTATTTTTGCTTCAAACGACTTTATATTGGATGTTTTATGTCGAGCAAGGAGCACTTCTGGGCCCCAACGACAGCCCAAAAACCACAGCGATGATGGCTATATAGCATGGACTGAGAGCACGACTCTACCGCCTTTGTCTATTCAGTGTTTCCACGTATAATAAATCGACTCCTCCACCCGAGCAGCCCCAGAATATCCCAAATATTGTTTAAACACATCCACCGTGCTATTGCTGATCTTTTGATATCACTAGCCCTGTAAAAAAGATTGTTTGTAATACTTCAATTTGGGAGAGTCCAAATATTTTCTCTTGGCTACAGCCTTGAACAAACAGTGTATTATTGTTGGAGAGCTCTCACCACTGTAGTGTTGGGCCCAGCAGAGGCGAGCGAGGCTTTATTACCACTGCTGGGCTAGGTGAGTGTTTCAGGAGACGTATGAGAAGGTCGAAGGCTCTGTTCCCCCGCCGCTAAAAGGTCCCGGCACGCAAACAAATTTTCTCACTCACCCGTGATGTTGTCTATGGCCCGCTGTAAAGGTCTCGCTGCAGATTACTAGACGTGACCACACAAATGGCTGAGAGATTACACTCTGTATGTGTTTTGTTTAAGATTACACGCCAGCGGCTACCAACCTAAAAGTGGCCCTGTTACATAACAACCCAACTGCTGTTAGTTACCACATCCCCTCCGTATGACCTTGCACCCCTCTAATTTGTTTGGAAACTTAAGCTCCCGGAACGGAGTAACGCAGAAATGCTTGCACGACGGAAAATATGGAAGTGAACTTCAGTGACACTTCTGAGTTCTTTAAAAATTGATTTCTCAGTGAGTCAGTTGAGCGACGCTCAGGTTTAAAGTCTCACAATTTCTCGTGCAACAAAAAAAAACACAGCTTTAGCCGCTTTCATGTTTCTGCCAGTCTGCTATTATTATACATTCTCTGTAAACCCGTGGTGTATAAATAGTAACTGAGAGGAACTTCGTAAATGAGGGATAACGCCAGAGGTAAATATTTTTGCTCTGGACATTTGCACAAGCAGCGCTAACAGTCCTGCGGCATAGGTCTGCCGCTTTGGGAGTCACATAAAACATACAGCATCAGCAGCAAGTTTCCAGCGTTTGCTTCAGTCTATTGCTGACAGCACAGTTCAGCAGTTTGAATCCAATTGACCAAATCGTGGATAAGCCTAATTGTTGGTGTGATTGAGAAATCGGTTCCACTCCCTTGTCGGCTTATCGCAGGCAGGCCTAAGAGATGCCGGGTGATAGCAGAAACAAAACACTGGGCCACACTGACAGACATCTGGCAGTGCCCGCGATTAAGCAAACAAAACCCGCTCTGTGACTCTCGTGCAGTTTCCAGCGTGTGTGCTCAGTCTCCGAACATTTATCACCTCTCAATACGATCTTCTCTTCTCCCTTCCTCCTTTTGCAAAGCGCCTCCTTCCTCTTTGATAGTCTTCCTCTCAGTCGCCCACACGATCACACTTCACTCTCATTCTCTTCCCGCAATTTAATCTAACCTAAAAAAAAAAATATCCCACTGTTAACACTTGATAAATTCCACTACAATGCTATAAAACACTGTTTCTACATGAGGTTTTCCACAATTATGATTCCTGGGTCAACAGCTCTGACTCATGAGGTGGAAAAGACAGCTACTCCCACAAATAGTAAAAGGCTTTCATGAATGAGGCATGGTCTGCGCACTGATGTAATTTAATGACTGCTGTTTGTAGTCATTACGCACACTAATTATGCTGTAATTGTTTCCCTTTTCCTGCGAAACAATGCTGACACGGCCCTTATTTTCAAAGGAGATCTAGAGCGTTTTTTGCTGTATTGTGCTTTTTTTCATTTTGTCAGACTTGTATTTTTTTAAAGGCTTTATTTACATAAAAGTATATTTTTTCATTTACTCCCAGTGTCATCAAGCCAAACAGAGACATTTTTTTATTTTATATCCAAAGATTTTTGTGTGCAGAGGCCAATTTCTGAAAGTATAAAAAAGAAATCTATAATGTTAGATTCTGCAAAAGTGGTGAAAATGTGTTTTTTTGTTCTATTTTCAGTGAGCTAAGCCTTTTAATTTATGCTCGTCTCACAGTACAGTTGTGGCAGGGTGAAACCTAAAATCTGTTCATCCATCCATTTATCCATCCATGCATCCGTCTTCTTAACTGCTTTTCTAACTTATGGTCAGAGTCGGGGCTGAAGCTTATCCCTGCTCTGATGACTGGTCCATCACAGGGCAGCAACATGCCCGCAGATCCACACGTGTGGCCTTTTTAAAATCACCAAGCAACCAGAAAGCCATGTGCTCGACGAAAATCTTGCAAGAACAGGGGGAACATGCAAACTCTACACCAGGGATGTCAAAGTCATTTTAAATCATAGGCCAGATACAGCCTGCTTTGATCTTTAGTGGGCCACACCAGTGAAACACTTTCTGTCAGTGTAAAGAAGTTTAACTACATATTTAACCCCTGCAATATCTTAAAATAAGAAAAAAGAAGTGACATTTCAGCAGCATGTCTCATTCTTTGTGCATGTTAAAGAAATGCTTCTGTAGTAAAGGAAATAAATCTGTTGGGGTGGTTTTTTGGGCTTAAACTGTAAGAAATAAATGCATAAAATTACAGAAAATGTTCTGGCATGTCATTGCCCAGACTGTCCTGTAATTATAAAACAAAGTTTTTGTTATAAAACTTCCTTTTTTTCCCTTTTAGTCTGAAATCACTGTGAAAATTAGAAAATTCTTTATCAGAGAGTGAAAAAGTAGGAACTTTTCTGTCATTTTATTGTTTAACTATCTCTTAATTACATTGAATGTATTAGTTATTAGTATGAGTGGTCTTGTGTGAGGTCTTTATCATTTGGAAAAGCTGAAAAACTTGTAAAAATACAGTAAAACATCCAAAACGGATCCCAACATTTTCCAAAGCAGTACAACGGGATGGATTGGAGTCTTTGCCAGGCCATTTCTGGGCCCCCGCACCTTATGTTTGACACCCCTGCTTTACACAGTCACCCAGGAGGTGGTTTGAACCCAGAACCTTGTATGGGGTGTCAAAGCTAAACGCTGCACTATGCTGCTGCCCTTTAAACCTAAACATCCTTCCTGTATACGTTTTCAGATATGAACGAGTGCTTGAACCAAAGCGTGTGCGGCCGTGGGCGGTGTGTCAACACTGAGGGCTCCTATAGGTGCAACTGCTTCCAAGGCTACAAACTCTCACCAGACAATGTTTGCCAAGGTATATGTCAGTCAGAAGATTGGTCAGACATTATTCACACCCCATGTCAAAGTTACATCTCTGTGAGTAGTTCTCCACAGGACAGTCGTGGAAGCCTTGCAGTACTGTTGAAGGAAAAAAAAGAAATCTACAAAGAGTTAGAGGTTGGCTTTATTTTCTTTTTTCCCCCTATGATTTCTCTCCAGATGTGGATGAGTGTCTGCTTCCGGGAGTCTGTCTCAACGGCCGATGCGTCAATCTGGACGGAACCTACAGATGCACCTGTAACCATGGCTACCAAGTCACCTCAGACAGCAAATCATGTGAAGGTCTGCAAAGGATTATCTAGAGCTGTTGGGTGTAACTCATCACTGCATACTTTTCTGCTCGTGGCGCACGCTCGACAGCAACTTAATGTCTGCAAATTATTTCCCTGCTAGATGTCAATGAGTGCGCAACTGGTAATGCCTGCCCTGCGGGAATTTGCATCAACTCTGCAGGTTCCTACACTTGCCAGAACTGCAGGCCCGGGTTTGAACCATCTGCTGACAGACTGAGATGTGAAGGTACGAAACTGGCCGCCTAATGGTTTACACTAACGTGTCGTTTTAAGGTAACACCGGTAGGCAGTGATGATATTTTTGCTCACTTGTGATGATATTCGCCCCTTTTTTCGCTTTCCAGATGTTGATGAGTGTTCCCAGGGCGACTTGTGTCTAGGTGGGGTGTGCGCCAACACAGAGGGGTCCTACATTTGCACCAGGTGTAAGGCTGGTTACAGAGTGTCTCAAGACCAGCAGAGGTGTGAAGGTAAAAACAGTCTCCAGCTGTTTCCAGCTGTTCTCGTCATTCAGGGAAAGTCATTAGCATTGTTATGACTATTAAAGGCTTACTCAACACGTTTGAGCAGCTTGTCGTTTCCCTGTAAAATTGACTTTCCCTCGAAACTGCATTTCCTGTATGTGCGGAATCTTTACACTGATATACACGGTGTGTTTTTTCCAGATATTGACGAGTGCCAGTCCCTGTCTACTTGTGTCAATGGGATCTGTCTAAACTCAGAAGGTTCTTACACCTGTGAGAACTGCCCCACGGGGTACAGAGTGTCGTTTGATGGAGAGCTCTGTGAAGGTTGGCTTATTGAAAATTACTCACTTAAATGGAGCTTTTTCTTATTTTTGAGTTTGTTGTTGTGAAAACATTGCAATCTGCCAGTGAATGTCTAAGTCTCCATATTGTTTCCTAACAGATATTGATGAGTGTGCCCTGCCCACTGCCTGCCCCCAGGGAACATGTACAAATACAGAGGGTTCGTTCACATGTGTTGTCTGTGAGCCCGGTTTTAGAGTCTCTGAGGATGGACAGCGGTGCGATGGTGAGAGTTTGTGGTGGAATGTCCTTGCTTATGTTTGCATGCTTGAGCCCAGGTGTGTGTAGATCTGGCTTTCCAAACATGCCAGACTTCACCTCTACACCTAACAGAATCTCATTTGCTCTGCAGATTTGTTTCTCAGCTGCTTTATGTTGTATGTAAATAACATGAGGTGTGGTAGCATGAACCCAAAGTCTCCTCATCTGAGGCAACAGCTCTAAAATACTTCTAGACATCACATCATAGCTGGATCCTGGACCCCTCTGGCTCTGGCACCAATCATCTGCTCCTTGCTCAACACAATGAGACACCAGCTCTCAAATAGAACAGGATGATGTCAGGCAAATATCCTGCAGATAGCTCAGCTAAAAAGATAGAGGTGTCGACATTTGTGATTCCTAGCCCTAGTGATTACCCATCTAACTGATTACCACTGGCAAGCTTTATTTATTTGAAGCCAGAGATGGTAATCTGTGCTATGATGTGCCTTTGTATCTGTGTCCAGATGTGGATGAGTGCTCAGTGGCTAACTTGTGCCCGGGTCAGCTGTGTCTGAACACTGATGGATCGTACACCTGCAGGAGCTGTGAAGCCGGCTTTCAAGTGAATGAGGGCGGTCGTTACTGTGAAGGTAAGAGGGCATCTGTACTTAAGTACCTGCCTAGAAAAGTTTGATATTTCAGCATGCTGCAAAATTGAGCCAAAGTTATAGTGGACCACTGTACAAGAGGAATGCATTAGGCCCAGAACATGATTACAGAAAATCTTTACAGCGTCTGGTAATTTTTCATGACATGATTTATGGGATAAATGCAGGGAAATGGCTGCTTTGAGGATCCAGTAAAGTAAAGTCTGTCATGACTTCATGGGAAGCAGAACAGGAATGATTATTTAAATGGATTAAAACATGGTCTCAGTTAGCCTCATATACTTCGGTGTGTTTTTAAACAGAAGTGTGGATGTAGCCTCAGAGGAAGATCCCACCCCCTCACCGATGTATCTTAGCGCTGGGAAAAAGTTGCACAGTAAAAGCCCGACTCCGAGTCAGCCTCTGATAGGATTTTAATGGATGTCTCTGATGCCATGGAAAATATTAAGGACTTAATTTGAAATGAAGTCAGCCACTCCCCTGCTTCTCACTTATTGCAGCAAACTTGCCCTGTTGAACTCACTCTGTTCACCCAAAGGCAAAAAAAAAATCGAGCCATCTCAATCACTTAACAATGGCCTGCACTATTTTCACCACAAGAAATACAATCCGTACCAGCTCGAGGAATTTCGAGAGATCACATAACAGTGAGCCAGTGACTGTTTGTAGATATAGTAATTATACGCCACCTGTAATAGCTTGCTGTTTTGGATTCAGTGACTGTCCCACATACTTATCTTTCTACCCTTTTTAATAAAACACTGTCAGTGTGATCTAATAAGGAGGGCTCTGCTTACTGTACATTAGGCAGCACAGTAGGTTAAGCTGAGCTCATTAATGATTTTCAGCAGATAAGACAGTGGAAGCACAAAAACGGGGCTCTATATACCTTTTTGTTCAAGATGATAACCTACAGCCAATCTTTTCTTCTTCTATCTCTTAGACATCGATGAGTGCCAGTCTCCGAGTGCTTGCCCCACAGGTGTTTGCGCCAACACAGAGGGCTCCTTCTCCTGCATGGCCTGTGATCTGGGCTTCGAGCTGGCATTTGACCGGCGCTCATGTGAAGGTACACTGAAATGGGCGTCTCGCTGCGGTCGCTCAGTTTTATGATCTCCATGCAATCATTTTCGCAGTCATCTGTTCCAATATAGTAAGTCATTACTTGCCGTCTGACATGATGCACGACTTCTTTCACATGTTCAGTGTGGTCTGGAAGTTTTTCGGTCTAGATGTCAAAACTTGGGCAAATTTGAAGTGACGCACGGTGATTTACAGCTGGTGTGGATATGTCATGCCGGTGACGTCTGTGTGTGTGTCAATTCAGATGTGAATGAATGTGAGGACGCCAGGCTGTGTGTGGGAGGTCAATGCACAAACGCCATCGGCTCCTATAGCTGCTCCTGCCCCTCTGGCATGGAGCTGGTGGATGGGACGTTCTGCAGAGGTATAAACATGCAAATGCACTATAGCTCTAAAATATGAAATTAGTGGTTAGCCGTTTCTCGTGGCTTACCTCATGTTGGCATATTGACACAGCTGTGTAAATGTGCTTATGTGTATTTGTGCTTGTTTGTGACAGATATCGATGAGTGTTTAACCGCTGGAGGGATCTGTGGGGAAGGAGACTGCCTGAACACTGAGGGCTCCTACTTATGCATCTGTCCTAATGGGTATACCACCACCGATGGAAGCCCCGGCTGCCAAGGTACAGTATAGCACTGGAGCTAGAATGCTTAGAGCAGCGGGAAATCTTGATTTTCTTGGGCTTTGTGTAAATAAGTGGAGCAGACTAGGGGTTGGAGCAAGTTGTTAATAAAGTAACAATTTTTCAAATATTGCTTAAGTCATTTTACAGTAACATTATTGGCTTGCTTTTTTTTTTTCTTCATTGAGTGCAGACAGGCTGCTCTCGCCATGCTCTCTTAGGAGTTGAAGCCAAGCCTGGGACACCTGGCATGGGTGCACAGGCTGTAATGGGCCATGGCCTCATCAACTATCTCAGCTCACCCTCCCTCAGCTTGGACAGTTTGATGTTATTCCAGCCGCACCCAGTGACCCACTGGTAGTAGCCTGATCATCAGCTAAAGGAGGGCTTTACAAGAATCTGGAGCAATTACTAAAACAATACATGAAATAACTCTGGCTAGGATGTCAGAATTGGATCAGTGTTATTTCTGGTGGGTCTTGCAATCTGGTGGAGGATGAGTTAAGTAAAAGATGTCTGGCAGTGAACTGTTCTGTCATGATATGAAGCAGGTAGGCTGGCCTCTGCGAGATGCTGGCATGGTCATGGAGTTGGCAGGATTTACTTGCAGCAGAGGACAAGGGTCACTCCTCGTGCAGGGGCGTTCTTTTGGCCTTGGAGTGCTTCAGATATCACAAACTGAGCAAGTTGCCCAACATGGATCAGGTACTTTGGCTATTCGCCACAACAAATACTGGGCCCTAATTATCCTATAAATCAGCAGTTGTCATATATTTTCTTGCAGTCTGCCATTGTGTGTACAGTGCTGACACAATAAAAGCCAGGGCCCCTTCTGACATGAGCCTGAAGGACGCGAAGAAGGGAGGACGAGGGTTTGTGAGGTTATGGAAATGAAAGATACGTTCAGTCAGGTGGGGCCAAAACTACGCTTGGCCTTTCCAGACCAGCGAAAAACAGCATGAGCAATAAAAGACTGACAGCGGACTGAAACATATCTCAGCTTAATCCAAATCAACAACTTCTGCCATGGCCTTCCTGTTCCTTTCAATAAGAGTTTGAAGGATTTGAATACACTCCAAAGCTATCCAGTCACAGCATATTTATGTATTTACCTAAAGTCTGGAGTGCTGCTTTTTTTCCCTCCCTATTGTTGCAATCGGGTGTTTACCTTGTCGTCTCTGTAAGATTCATCTGATTATCAAAAGACTGGAAAAGGAAGGCAGGCATTTTCCTCAGTGATGAATTTCCTCTGGTTTCTTGCGTTTTCCCTCACCTTTCACCACAAGTCCAAGTACTGTATAAGCTATGCTGTAATGCCGCAATTATCCACCCATCTACAGCTAATCAGGCATCGAGCATTCGTTATTAATTTTAACGAGTCTGGGGGAAATGTTCTCAGCCTGAAAAGCTGAGGTAGATCTCTCTTCTGCTTTGTTTCCTGTTTGCAAGTATACCATGAAGCGCTCCAAATGGCCAGCACGCCTAGTGTTCAGATGAGCGCTTGATTACACATTCTTTTTCTGATACGAGAAGAAGCCGTGCTCCCCGCGGACTCGCTGAAGATGGAGGATCTGTGCGGATAATTGCTGTTAATCAATCTGTAAGATCTTGAGCCGCACTTTCCGCTAATTTGTTTGCTTTTCTTTCCCCACTTTTTGTCCGTCGTAGACGTGGATGAATGCAGCAAGGATGATGTGTGCATCCGAGGAAAGTGCATCAACGGCGAGGGCTCGTTCTTGTGCTTGTGCGAGGCTGGCTTCAAATTCAACACTGATACGGCTGACTGTGAGGGTGAGACTGATTAAAACTTCCTTTTGTTTTCAAGTTGTGTTTGTCACGGTTATTATTGACCCTACCTCTGCCCAGAAGTTTCATCTGTCTGACTAAAACAACGTGTCAGCTTTAGCTGTTTGATTGTCACGCTACATTAAGGCTCAAACATACGCAGTATAGCACAGTTGGATATGATTGATTATCTATAGCACGTCAGGCTCCAGTGAAAGTGTCCAAGCCTGGCTTAGAGGCTTTCCTCCGTGGTCTTGGGACTGAGGGGTGCCTGGATTACATGGCTGGAGCCCTCAGCTCCCTCTCCCCAGTGGGAAGCATGAATGACCCCATTGTGAGCAGGAGGTGTTTCTCCCTCTGGAACGTCTCCCTTTAGCTCCTTCACAAGTTCTTTGGTTGCTGTGATAATATTGTTCTTGGCCATTCCCTTTGCCTGCTGCGTTTACTGAGGACAGCTACACCACAGGCCTCCTGGCCGACTCCTGCTTTGCAGCCATTACACCGTGAGCAGAGGAGCAGTGGTGGGAATACGAGTTTGCGTGCGGGGGTGCGCGCATTTGTGTCTGATTGCACATGTGGTTACGTTTGCGCCTCTGTTTGTCGGTTACTGACAAACATCTGTCTGTCTCTCTCTCTCTCTCTTCTTCTTCTGTATAGACCAGAACGAGTGCAAGGAGTTTGGGAGCTCAGTCTGTGGCACCTGGCGCTGCGAGAACACCATCGGCTCTTACCGGTGCTTTGTGGGTTGCCAGCCTGGCCTTGAGGGAGAACTCGCCACAGGCTGTGGTGAGTTTTCAAAATTGCACTTTACTTAAAAAGACTAGCACGCTCAATTATGTGGAGAAAAAGAATTAAACAGGCATTTTTAGCCTGTTTTTGTGTGTAAGCAAATTTAATTGTATTGAAAGGGGGTCAAGCTATTTATAGACTGTGCATGACCTAATACTTCATTACTCCATGGCTGTAGTTTAGTATTCAAATCAAGTCACCACCACCACACCACTCTACAGGTCTCTCACCCCATCGCACATATCAGGTTGGCATGCACACATAGGGACAGATGCAAGTTAAAAGCTATCAAGTCCTCTGGGTCTTCCCGCACAAAAGGCCACCATGGAAGATAATGAGAAATAGCCCAATATTGAGGCCCTTTGAAGACAATACTGCACTGTCATTGGAAGCCAATTGTAAGGCCAGAAGCTGATAGAAGTCATTCACCTGAAAACAGGGATAATGGAGCACTCTGGCAGAGTCCCAAAGTAGAACCTGATCGCTGCAGTTCTTCTAAGAGAGAAGCCACAGTCACCTGCCATTGGCTGGATGGGTTTGTACTCATGCTACATCTGTGAACACAGCTAGCCAACAACAACAGGCATATGTCCATGACTTCCAGAGTCCATGAAGACTTATGTATTTCCTGGCAGGACTGAACACCTTGGGCTCAAGACATTTGCAAAGTTTGTTGCACAACAAATTGGATTTCTTTTTTTTTTGCTCTTTATTTTGTAATGTGGTATTGCTTGTCTTTGTCACTCTCATAGCACCATAAAACAACAAATGGGGTTTATGACCAGAAAAAAAGAAGGTCTAGATATTTTCCTCATGTTTAGAGAGGATCCAAACGAAGCGAAGAAGGGAAAGCAGACTGAGAGCATCAGAATGGAATGATGTGTTGGACCGTAGATTGAAGCTGCGGGTGTTTGTGGCCGATTGCGTGTGCGTGTCAGCATGACTGTGTGTGTGTGTGTGCGCACGTCTGTGGTTAAGTGTGGGGTTATTTTTGGGGTTTTTTTGGCATCCCCCCGTGTGTGTTTGTGTTGGAGAAAGAGAACCAGAGACTGTGGTGGTTGCAGAGATGCACTCAGGGCGGAGTGTGGCTTCACATGTTTTCATGATCCAAAGTTTTTATTAGACTATCAAGTGATGCTCCGGAGAGAAAATGCTGCTGCGGGCAGTGTTGACTGGTGACAGATCGTAGCTCTGTCCACCACCCCTCGTCTACTACACTGATCCTGGCTATGTGTGGCTGCCTCCTCACTGCACTTTACGATCTTGTCTGTCTGGCACCGGCTAAAGAGTGCAGAGGCCTTTAGTTCAATAAGACTTGATTGAAGCCAGCTGCTCACCTCTGCTCTTTTGACTTCAGAGACAAAACACTGCTAAGCAGCTCACACAGGTTAGATTTTCATCATTGCTTGCTGTGCATTAGGGCTTAAGGACTTTGCCTGCCATGATATATGCATTTTATTTAAATCACCCCATGTGCCCTTTAGTTGCCTCTAGTGTGATGATCCCTTTTATACCTTTATTTGCCCAAAACCGTGAAATTCTTGATGCTGAAAGTGTCTTTTGAAGGAGTTGTGCAGGAATCTAGCAGAGACACCCAATCTCCAGGAGAAAGCTCATACAGACATGTGGAGACTCCACACAGAGCTGCCCGGTTTTGAACCTCTTGGTCTGATTCCACTTCTGAGCCACTCACCCAGTTGCTAACATGTCTGACATGCTCCTGAGGAGTCCTGAGATGTGGCCTGATTACAAAATCTTCTTTTATAGTTCCACAAAACTCTATTTATCTCATCTCTATGGGTGCTTGACCAACTTTCTCCTGTTGCTATGTTGTGATGCTGTTTTCACTAGATGCTACAACAAACATTCGCACAGCTCAGCGTTGACTCACAGCCCCGGTTTGAGAACCAAGCCCTCTTACGTTTAAAATCACTCAGCGCTACACACAATAGTGGCTTGTTTCACCTCGCGAATGGAAGTTTTTGGAGATGCTGCCGTCACCTCAATAAAAAAATGTTAAAAAAAGAAAGGGTTGGGGCTCATTTCTTCCGGGGCTTTTTTTGGTGGCTTGCAAAAAGAAAATCATCAAATATTCAAGAAGAGACCAGACGTGGTAATTTGCAGTTTCTGCGAGGGGGTATTGCTTTATTTTTACTCACCCGCCTTTGAAAGAGGCAGCGGTTGTCGTTGGCTCTGCTCCCTGCGCTCATTTAGATTTAGAGGCCGTGACACAAAAAGGGAAAAACAGAGGGGCTTTTTTTGCCACAGCAAATGCCACCGCAACTGTGCTATAAGGTCTACGCTCAAATCTAACACGATGCCGTACATAAGTGTTTGGACGCATGTGTGTATGCTTGCTGCACATCATTGTTTTTAGCTTTAATTCACCGTCACGCTCGTAAATTCCCCCGAGCTATGCCTCGTCTTTAATAAGGCTTTTACCCAAGGGCGGAAATTGTCTGCGGTCTCACTCTTGCCAGCCTCCCACCCCTGTAAATGTATAGAAATCTGAAGACTTTAACATGTGTGTGACTCCTCGTGCAGTTGTACTTTCTTTTTAAGATGTACACTGGTCACACCGCGGGTTGGTCATCAGTGTAGTTAACCCAGGACCGGTTGTTGATGTAATATCTGATAAAGCCCGCAAACAGGCTTCCCTGAAGGCAAATACCTCACCTTATCCTTAACCAATCATGTGTGAAATAACCTCTGCATATGGGTCCAATCAGACAAGGGGTTGCCCGGAGAACAACGGAGAAGTGTAGACTGCGGCGGGGTGAGTCAACAGTCATTGATGTATCCCTGTATTCTTTTTGCCTGCCGCCATGTGCTTCAAATTAACACATGGCACAGAGACCAGTTTTTAACACTCTTCCACACCCAAATCCACCATCACCGGATCCAGGAAGCATGTCCTCCCGGGTCAGGCCGTTAGAGTAGGTTGTTTTTGGGCCCGTGCTGCCCCTTCATCTCAGCTTTTTCCTATATCAGCTGAACTTTTCAGAGTCTTTTCCCGCCTCACTTCTTCCCGCCGGGCAAATTACAGCGCTGCATGTGTCCTGACGTAACTGATGATCGCATGGAAAGACTAAGAAAGGCCAACCCCATATCGTGCTAGTGTGAGACTCGCTCTTGGTGGAGTTATCTCATGCTGTAATATTCATTTTTTCCCACAAATCATTAGCGCTGCGATTATCAGCCTGACTCTGTCTGTGGTTGACAGACCTAAATGGCTGGTCAAGTAATGCTATCACTCAAACACTGCAAAAAGACGGGCACAGCAAAGACAAAATTCCAGTTTTTCTTTTGGTCCAGATTTTCTTGTTCCTCTCAGAGATGATACTTTGAGTGCATCTCATCCCAACATGTGGTTTGCAACAGATTTTCTTCCATGTCACACACGATTGAAAATCCGCCTTCAGACACTGATTATTTCACATATTAGCAGAGAGCTTTCATCGACTTCCCTCCCCGGACCTCCCAGCTGGTCTCTGCTGTCAATTCCAACATTCCTAACTCCACTTAAGCTCTTCACACTTGAGAAAAATGTTCCTTAAACCTTGATATACAATA